ATCCTGCGGTAAGCATGATGCTACCTCTTCACCTGCGCTGCTGCATGACTTCCCTGGCAGTGCATACAGATGTTTGCTTCCCCGCCCATCTTAGGTTCTCCTACCTTCCCCAGCATTTTCTTTATTAGGACCCAAATCTTACTCCCCCCCCCCCCCCCCCCCCCCCCCCCGGTCTCCTTTCTCAGGCATGCCAATAAAGATTTGAATTTTTCTGCATTCTAACTATCAGCTGCTCCATATGTACATATGTTACAAATGTCATCATGACAACTGAGTGACAAATTCAGTCTAACCTGGCATCAGCACCTCAGTTGTCCATCCATCTGGCCACTGTCCAGACAGTAGCACTAATAATATCACTTTTAACTTCTGACTCAATAACCTTTTGTCATCACATCGTGACCATCTTCCATTCGCATCGGGTAACTTCATGGCTTCTAGTTGACTAATGTAAGAACATGTTGATTCCCTCAGTGCTGGCCAGCACCTTGACACCATCCAGCATCAGAACATAGAACTGTTTCTAATTATCAACAAGCAAGCATATCAGTGTTACCTGACTTGAATCGAACTGAAGGTCTCATATTCACCTAGCATGTGCACATCAATCAATTATATATATAAAAATTTGATGTCAGTGCCTAAAAGTCTATCAAAGGCCACAGTGGGACAATATTTTTTAAATACATTTGGGTTAACCGCCCCAAAACCTTGCACTGCAGTTACCAATCAGCATAAGTCTCAGGGCTTTGTGATTCCCCAGTGGGAGCTGGATGATGAGTCTATAGGGAGAAGGATGTCAAGTCGAGTCAATTTTACTTATATAGCCCAATATTACAAGTTACTAATTTGCATGAGCTACATCCTTCTCCCTCTGAGATTTGCCACCTTAACATGGTAAAAGGTTTTTAACATTGTTGTCTTCTTCCTTTAGGGTTGGGAGTGTCCCTTCCCCAAATGAAGGAGTTCAAATATCAGGGAGTGTGGGTAATATGGATACAAGATCGGCAGGTGGATTGGTTTGGCATAAACACTTGTGTCGGCATTGTACTGGACTGTCACTGGAATAGAATGAGCTGAGCCTTTCAGATTACCAGTAATTGAAAGTTGTAAATACACATTTTAATTTGTTTGCGTAGCTGTACAAACATGCTGATTTGCAAATGTAAAATGGCATTACATTTGATAAAAGCTGCATAATGACAAATGACTGAATGAATAATTTTGAAGGAATCTAAATTTCTGATTGAAAATTGACTAACAAAACTAAATCTTTTCATGCTATTTTAGACTTTGTGTAATAAAATGAGGAAACATATTGGCACTGCTTTTATCTGGCACCTTTAAATAACCTCCACTTCTATGTTGTCCTTACATTTTTGCTGTAGTCCTGTGAGGATGAATAGTATGTGAAGGCTACAAACCACAGACCTTATATTGCATTCATATTGTAAAACTGAAATGTTTGCTAAAGGTTCACTAGTTTCAATCCAATATTCAGATTCATTACTTTGGAAAAACATTGCCGATGTAACTGCTGGCCAGCTGAGGCTAATACATCCTATTTTAGTTCCCTACCTACCCCACTTTGCTATGGTAAGAACAGGTAATACAAACAGGTAATTTCAATGTTATGATATCTATCAGTAAGCTCTCTGGTGTATTACTGGCTCTAGTGTTTCAGGCCACCTGTGAGTGTTGGAAGATCAATGGGGAAATTAGATGTCAAGGCTTGGCTTTTGCGGTGCACCCGCTGAAACTTCCACCATTAGATCGTTCTCCCATATACTGCCATGCAATAAAAGCTGGACATGGGAGATCAAGTTTCCCTAATAATGTTAGGGCCAAAACCACCATAAACCAAACATAAAAAAACTAATCTGTGACCTGCAACAACACCGATTAGTCTCAAAGCTAATAATAATAGATGATAATGTATGACTATAACTTGTGGAAGTGCAATTCTGGACTGAGGATGGTTTGCCATGAAATCCGGTACATTTCTCTGTAAGCAGTGGCCAAAAAACTGCATTCTATCCTCCACTACAGTAATATTTAGCCCATGCATGTACTCCAAAACCCACCCAAAGCTGTCAGTGTTCAGCCAAATATACTTTACACACTACTAGTGCGACTTCCCAGTTATCAGCTCTATCATCATTACCTCTCACAATACATCAGATTTTTCTACACTGAGAAACAGATCCAATTTGTCACCTTGTTCTTCCCCCTCTGTTGTTAAACAAAGACGAAACCCGTGGAAAAGCCTCTGATCCACAGTGTAAGCCCCTAACACCCATACCCAATGTTACTTTCTGCTTGAGCACTTAGGCTCAGTGTATGAATGTGTGTGAATTGTGAATGCAGAAGTAGTGTAAAAGCGCTTTGAGTGGTCGAAAAGACTAGAAAGGTGCTATACGGAGCATTTATATTTATGTCACCATGCATCACTCCAGGATAACCAAAAATGGGCAAAGAGGCGGGCCGTGGGTGGAGGTGAGCTGACGTGTTGCTGAAACCACTCCCACCTAGTTCGACGTGACCAAGTTATCTCATGCTAAGGAGTTAATGCTATATTTTACATAATGGTAGTTACAAGTCGTTTATTTGGCTGTCACCTAATTATATGTTAACGTTACTTGTAATAAACATAATAAGCTAGCAGTAGAGTCCTTAGTTACATGATGGAATATATCTTGTAAAACGTTGCTATCACATTAATTAATTCCCCACACCACTATTTTGAGTAACGTTAGTGCTGTTAGATTATTGTCTGGAATAGGATACTTGTGAGAGAAAGATTTTAGTGATCAGTTCTAGTTGATGTCTCCATGTCTGCTACTCAAAACTTAAACTGTACTTAATGTTACTAGGATTTAAAGATTGCCTCCTTTGTTCCATTTTCTCCCACATGTGACATGATAGTGCTGTCAACATTAAAACACTGTTTTGAGTTAATTAGTTAATCAGTTGACATTTCTCTATTATTTACAATACAGAAATGTATTTAGGCTATTCTAAAATTTTTATACATTTTGAGATACTGGAGTTTTTATTTCCATGAACTGTAAACAGTAATGATTCAAATTAATACAACAAAAGGGCTTGAAATACTTCACTTTGTGTAATGAATCTTGAATATATCAAAAATTCACTTTTCGAATTAAATTACACTTACAAAATTAACTCCTCCAAAATTATCTATTTTTAAAGACTCATTTGTATTGTTAATTTATATTTGTCATCACCTGAAGCATTTATTACACATTTTCCCCTCAGAGTCACACTGTGAATCAGATGTCCCACCTGGTGCCAGAGAGCTGCAGAGACTTGGGAAGCCTCGTCATTGTGTTGTTAGCGTGGACTGATGTGGAAAGGCTTTCTCTCTTTCTGTTTACTTTGAGTTTTAAATATTGTCCATATTTGAGTTATAGGGCCATTTAAAAAAAGATATGGTTTATGGTTCACATTGTAATAAATTCTATACATATATTGGCACTCCCTGTATTTACTACTTACTGAAAAGCTAATAGTATACTTTAGATAAAACATGAAACATTAAAGCTGAACTCTTGCTAAAGAACATCACTCTAGTATAAGTTGAAAAGTGAAAATACTCCCAACCCTTCGTGTCCATCGGGTTCAGGTGCAGCTACTTCTAATAGTATCTAACTGAACAGTGACTCTGTTACAGGACGTAGCTAAATCTTACATTGCCCGTTTGTAAAGTTTACCGTTAACATAACGTGAGCTAACATATCTGGCTAATTAGCATAATGAGCTAAGCTAACACACTATATCCCAACAGCGTTACCTGTTAAATATTGTTAACACATAAATAAAATTCCGGAAGTTTCCCTCACCAACAGGAACACGGATTTCCTGGAAGTTCTTTCTCCAATAAACCGCACAGTCTGCCATTATTCATCCAGTATCTGCATATAGAAATGTCCAAACGGCCCAAATGTCCAAAACTTTCTGTTGCTAGCCTCTATCTGGCCCGCCCAATGATGATGCAGTGAACAGTGACGATTCTCTCTGACCAATCAGTAGTCTGCCATGTTTTCACGTCACATTTTAGTATCGCCTCAGCTCGCATGGAATCTCGATGGAGGTGAAAAAAAGTACCTGGAAGCAGGTACAGGTACAACTTTTCCACAATGGAAAACCAAACAAAGGCGAGTTGAGCTGGTACTATGCAGTGGAAAAGGGGCTTCAAAGCATTTTTATTAACTTTAATTGTACCTGTTCTTTTACATTCCTCTGTGCTGCTGTGTCAGCCTGAATTTTAATTCTATTAATAAAGGTATCGCCGTGTCTGTGTAGGTTCTTGCCCGCTTCTTCCCACCGTCCAAAGCGTGCAGACTAGGTTTATTGGCAACTCTAAATTGTCCTTAGTTGTGAGTGTGAGTGATGGTTTGTATATATGTGTGCCCTGTGATGGACTGGCGACCTGTCCAGGGTGTACCCCGCCTTTCGCCTGATGTCAACTGGAATTGGCTCCAGCCCCCCCACGACCCTGTACACAGGATAAGTGGTTGACAATGAGTCAGTGAGTGAGTAATAAAGGTATATCTTAATTTATCTTATCATTTAAGGACTGTAAAATGAGGTCAGATTACTCTGTGTGACTGAGTCACAGGCATAGACATTGAAAGTGTTACCAAAATCACGACTGAAATCAGTTATAATGAAGAGTATTGATGTATTGCTGCCTAAAAATTGGCTTTAAACTGAGTTAATAGTAGAAAAACACATCAACCTCTCATGAAGTGGTCTAAAACAGACTTTAGGGACAGTAAAACTCCACCATGCCGATGCTGATGTTATTTGGGCTAATCCGCTCTCACCAGTTCACGCACACTGGTGCACAGTCCAAGCCATGCCATTCAAATATGAAGTCTGCCCACTGGTCCAGTGAAACACCCAAACCCTCCCAACCCCACCCCCCACACCTCCTCTGTGTCCTCTCACACTACCTTTCTTTACTTTCTTTACAGTTCGTCGTGTGCCTCCCCGTTTCTCCATCCCCCCAACCAATCATGAGGTGATGCCCGGTGGCAGCGTCAACCTGACCTGCGTTGCGGTTGGTGCTCCCATGCCTTATGTCAAGTGGATTAGTGGCGAAGTGGAGCTGACTCGGGAGGAGGAGATGCCTATTGGCCGCAACGTCCTGGAGCTCACTAACATCCGGCAGTCCACCAACTACACCTGTGTGGCCATATCCTCCCTGGGCATGATTGAGACCACAGCCCAGATCACTGTCAAAGGTCAGAAACACTGGGTGTGTCTCGGTAGATGTGATCTCACATAGGACAGTGGAGGACGTGGAAGCAGAAAACATTTGAATAATGTCTAAATAATACATTTGTTTACAGGAGAAATTAATATATGCAGCTGAATGCTAACATTTACTATTGTATATGTTATGTATAGAAAATATATAATTTGCTGTAGATGCTTTTGTGGTTGTTTTGAGATACATTTGACAATGGGAACAGTATGTATGACAAAGAAAATCTCTGACAAGCTTTTTTTTTTGACAGATACAATGTGCACTAACTGCAATTTCTGCCAAATCATCTGTGTACTTTCAAGCAATACTGCAATAATCAATACAACATTTTTATATTAAGTAGGCTTTCTATTTTCAAACTCCTTGCAGAAGGATGACCCAGTAGAATCATTCCTCAGTAGTGGTGCTTTATTAGCCTTGGCATAGGTGGGGCCAGCAGCAGTTGCTGAGGAGGGAAGGGTTATATGAACTGGTGCCTGGATGCTGCACTGTTGGTGTTTTGGAGAATGGATAAAGCTGCTAGTTAACCATGACAAGTAGGTGCATAATAGAAAGGTGATGGCCTTTTTCATTGGTTATTTTCATAATGGCCGGATTGTTTTAGTGATTCTGTCAAAGTCAAAGTTTTTCAAAGACATTTTAAACGTTTTAAACGTTTTAAACATTTAAACGTACATTGCAAGTTCCGACCTGTTTTCCAACAATGATCCATCTTAGAGGTTAAGAGCTTTTCTGAAGAGCATTTCTACAAAAGCGCTTTCATTATACACATATTTCCCAAATCAGCAGACATTAGCTGTCTACAGTACTGAAGATGATGCTGAATACATTTTAAATAATTAGTCAGCTGTGTTACATATTAATTTACATACATCACAAAACTGAAGTGTTGTAAACGATAAAGATAGATTTTAACTTGGGGTAGTTCAGTATAAATACAATGCTTAATTAGCACTACAGCTTTCAGCTTGCTGCTCTTCATGTTACTGCACGGAAGTCTCTTTAATAAAGTACACTTGATTGATTGATTTAGCTGCTGCTCCAGGAATGCGTTTCTCTTAAACTCACACTAATCCTAAAATGAAGCACTTCCTATGAATTTCATTACTATGCAGGTAAAAAACATACACACTATAAATAAAATGAAAAGAGAAGATGAAAATATCCCATCAGGGAATATTTATTTCAGCCACAACAGATGAAGATTTTAGGCGTCAGGGGAGGGAGTGGAAGATGATGACAGAAACTGACAGATGATCAGATAGTGAATTCATTTGTGCCTGTTTGTCAGTTTTGTTTTATTTTCTTATTTTCTAATTTGAATATTATCACCCATTTTACATCAAGCATCATTTTTGATGTTTTGATTTTTGAAGCCTGGTCTCCAGTGTCATAGTCCTGCATGTTGTACATGCAACAATCCATCCTGGTCTCTTCCCAACAACTTAATGCTTAAGGAGGAATAAAAAACACATTTATTTGCACAAATCAATAAATCATGCTCTTAAATTAATGCATGCACACAGATTACTTTTTTGTTTTAGAAATTTCAGTTCAGAAAAACAAGCCATGTCAAACACAATGATAATGGGCAAAATCCAACCATCCAAAATCAAAATAAAAACTGCATTTAGATTAAATTGTTACTGTTTAAATTGAATTGTATTAATTTAAACGCTCAGTGTAGGGAGGAGCACCTAGAGTGGTAGCAGCTGGCTTGAAGCTGTGTTGTGCTGTTGAGGTGCATACAATTATTGAATTAGTTTATTGTGATATTAATAATTATATATATATACAAACCACATGTCAACACTAATTTAAGTCTTCCAAATCCCCCCCAAAAGATATTTAGAAAATAAAGTTAGCAAAATAAAGGTTTCATGGGCCTTTCAGACACGCAACAGCACCACTGCGCTATGAAACTCATCATTTCCCATGGCTTCCGCCTCGCCATTGTGAGTTTGTTGCTAAGACAAGCAATGCGCAGCGCACCACTTTGTGAGCTGAATGCATGGTCAAAGTTCACATTCATTGCGCTTTGGCACTGAACCCAGTTGCCAGCGCAGCACAAATGACTCCCTTCTTGGGGTGGCAATGGGCCAGTGGATAAGACACATGCCTTTGATGTGAGAGACCCGGTTTCAATTCCTTCTGTGACCCATCCACCATTGTGTCCCTGAGCAAGACACTTGCAGAGAAGGGCAGGTCAGCGAAAGGCCAGTAATAGCCATTCAGAAGGAGAGAAAGGCGGGTCAGCGAAAAAACGGTAAACAGCTTCGATTCAGCTGTAGGCTACATGTTGCCCACCAGGTTGGCAATTTGGACTGGAGCAAGAGTTTCAGAGTGGTGAATTATTAATCTGTAACAAAAGTATCTTTCATCCATAAAGTTTTAACTGAGCTCTGTCTCTACATCACAGGAACAACTTTATGTCCACTGACTGCCTGGAGGGTAGCTAGTGTTTGGAAGGGAGAGGAGAGGTGTGTGTGCTGCAGCTCAGTGTTTTCCACCGCTGTTTTTGAGGGCGTGTCGGAGTAGTCACTCCGCGAGCATTGTGATGTCACCAGAAAGGGAAGTAAAGGCTGGACTACAAACGAGCTGTTTTCAGGCAGTTCAGAGCAGAGTTTTCTGTGGGAGATGGCAACTCCCTTTGGGGTGGACTTTGGGCTTTTTCACTTTGCAAACCTGTTACATGCACAAAAAAGATATTCAACTCAATAAAGGAGAGGGGAAAAGCCAAAAACCATAATGCCACCTCTTTAAGAGTAAGATGTTCAGAGTTAATATTTATACGATTACACATACAAGTTTGATTTAGTTACAATATTTACTGTTTTGACACCAACTCCTTATCAACTGAGAGTCAAATATAAAGGATCTGACTCTATCAGAGTAGAATTACCTCTACATTTACTCAAATTCCTCTAACACCAAAAATGTAACTCTTTTCAATTTGCTGTGTTGTGTTGTATATCTTTTTGTGCATGTAATAGGTTTGCAAAGTGAAGCCCACCCCAAAGGGAGTTCCCATCTCCCATAGAAAACACTGCTCTGAACTGCTTGAAAACAGCTCGATTGTAGTCTTTATCATTGTAACCTATCTGCATCACTATGTAACACATAGTTATAATGCTCTCCTAGCTGCTAGTCAGGCGCACCCTTAAACACCTCTGGAAAAACACCAATTAAAGCAATTTAAACCTATTCTGGTACCTAAAACACCTAAACAAAATTATGAACCTGAAAATGAGCATAATATGACCTCTTTAACTCATTTATTTGTTCCATGACACTTGGTCGGGCTCCATATGAATGAATAGATCGTTTTTTTTATATCTTTAAAAAACAACAATAGGCTCTGCTGGTGGGCTGCATTAAATATAAGCGCTTCTGATAATCTCTAGCTCTTGTTAGGTAGACTACAGACATGCACCCATCACTTGGAAACATAATACATGTGCTCAGCCTGCTGGCCCTGTGCTGATCCGGAGAGGGCAGAGACAGGCTCCTGAAAGATAATTACTGTTAGACTGGTGTTGAAGAGTTCCATGTACTCTGAGCTGGGTGTTCCTCCTGCCAGACCTTCATGTCAGAGAGGTGGAAAAAAGAAGACTGCAGAGACTTGTTTGTCTGACTCTCTCGTCTGTCTTTACTTTCTAACAGCCCTGCCCAAGCAGCCCACTTCCCTCATTGTGACAGAAACCACGGCCACTAGTGTCACCTTGACCTGGGATTCTGGCAACCCAGAACCGGTGTCCTACTATGTGATCCAGTATCGCAGCAAACTGTCTGACAACGGCTTCCAGGAAGTAGATGGAGTAGCTACAACACGATACAGTATCGGCGGCCTTAGCCCCTTCTCTGAATATGACTTTCGTGTCATGGCTGTCAACAATGTCGGCCGTGGGCCCCCCAGCAGTAACGTGGACACCCGTACAAGCGAGCAGGCACCGTCATCACCTCCTCTTCATGTCCAGGCACGCATGCTAAGCTCCAGCACCATGCTTGTCCAGTGGGAACCTCCAGAGGAGCCCAATGGCCAAATCCAGGGATACCGGGTCTACTACAGCTCCAAGCATGACGCCCCACTCAGTGCCTGGCAGAAGCACAACACAGATGACAGCCAGCTCACCACCATCTCAGGTCTCACCCCAGATATCACTTACAGCCTGAGGGTGCTGGGCTTCACCTCTGTGGGAGACGGGCCTCCCTCTGATGTTCTGCAGATCAAGACCCAGCAGGGAGGTGAGAATGCGCTCGCTGTTTCTGCAAAGCAATGGCATAAGATAATTCTGAAGTTTTCACAGTCGCATTGCATTTTAAGGTGTAAGCTACAAGGTGGGAGTCATCTGGATTATTCTGTGGCAGCAAGAGTACTGCTGGACAGTGATGGAAGAATTACTCAGATAAAAAAAAAATAGCAGACCCATATTGAAAATAGTCCCTTACACGTAAGGGTGCTGTATTCACAGTGTTACGTAAAGCTGCATTAATAGATCTCTTTGGTCTTTGGTTGCAGTGGAACAAGCTGTAAATACAACACTGACATATTATCACCTTGTAAAGTGTTATGGCAAAAGTGTAAGCAAAGAGTTGTCTATTTACACATCCAGCCGACACAGAGCAGCAGGTACACTAACTGTAAAAACAGAATACAGAGGGTAAATGCCTCTGGTGCAGGGACAATTAGAAAAATTAACACCAACAAACCCAGCAGTGTGACATAATGCACAGACAACAGTCATCTTCACTGTACCATGTAGCACCTCTAAACCACACCTCCATGACTTCCTAATTATTGTGTATTATTATGTATTTGTTTTAAATGTATGTGTTTCTGTGTAATAGACCCATGCTAGAACTGGGTTGCATGGCTTGGTAGCAGCAGAAGTGTGTTGGATAAATGTAGTTTCCCTGTGTTACACAACCATCATTTTGAAATTGCAGAAAAACTGAGCTGTAATGTGAAACATCAGTCTGTCAAATATTTACCAGCTAAACACAACTGTGTGTGTGTGTGTGTGTGTGTGTGTGTGTGTGTGTGTGTGTGTGTGTGTGTGCGTGCGTGTGTGTGCGTGTTTGTGTAATATGAAGTTCTCACACACTTTATAAAATGGACAAAAGGGAATAAACATGGTATTGCATTCACAGAGAGCCTGTTTTTGTGTGTTCTCATCTTACTGTGCTTGGCTGGAAGAAACCTGACATCACAACAGGGCTGCAATAGTAGATAATGCCACCCAAATTCAGCTGACCCACGTTATTTATTTGTGGGATAGAGTTCATCACCCTTCCAGACAGACATAAATCATTTTACCTTAAATGCATATTACAGTGTCTAGTAACTAGTATCAGACTGAGAAGGATTGTTTTATCAGAGCATCACTGTGATTAATGTAAAATTTCCCCAAGTCATGCCATCTATTATGTGGCTGTCCACTATCATATCATCAAGAGCAGTTGGGCTGTTGACTGAGCTCAGGCAAAAAATCACTAAAAAACAGAAACAATGCAACAGAACAAAGTTCCATCCTCACTGATCTTGAAACTTTAGAATGACTCTCTAGTTTAAATAGGCACAATCAAATTAGTGATGGACTAATACCAACAACTGATCTGATGCCAGTGCTCCTTGTAAATGTAAAATCTATATATGTAACTGCGTGAAACTGACTGGGACCATTATTCTATGTCTAAGGGTGCTTTCACACCTGTAGTTCAGTTCATTTGGTCTGGACCAAGTGAAAAAAATTATACACTGTATGTATGTATGTACACTGCATTTTCGTCCTGGTCCGGTTCATGTTCACACTGCAGTTTTACAAACGAACCAAGATAAGTATTATTATTATTATCCTATAGTACACTGTGGTATCGCTGTCACAAATGTTTTATGGACTTAATGAGCTGACAAGGTAAACAGAGTACTACTGGCCCTCCTTTTTTTAACAGCTTTTGTCCTATTAATCAGCCGTTAGAAGATGGTTTTATTAGTGGTTTAACTTTGGAAATAATGCTCAGATCACATCTTTGCTATCATGAAATCCTGTGGTTGCGTTGTTTGCTTTCACATCACCATTCAATTCAATTCAATTTTATTTATATAGCACAAAATCACAACAACAGTTATCTCACAGCGCTTTTCATAAAAGAGCAGGTCTAGACCGTACTCTGTGATGATATTTACAGAAGCCCAACAGTTCCCACCAAGAGCAAGCACTAGGCGACAGAGGCAAGGAAAAACTTCCTTTAAGAGGCAGAAACCTCGAGCAGAACCATGGCTCAGGGTGGGCGGCCATCTGCCTCGACCGGTTGGGGTGAAGGAAGAAGGGAACAGAGAGAGAGAGAGAGAGAGAGGGGAGGGAGGCAGCCTACACAATATACACACAGAGGTACAGACAGTAAAGGTGATGTTGCTATAGACTAAATGGAAAATGGTACAGATATTTATAGTAGTGTTAATGATAACAATCGTAATGTTAATGATTATAATAACAATAATAACAATAGGACTAGTAACAATAGTCGTTGCAGCAGAGGGTGTCGAGCAGGAACACGGGGGCAGCAGGTGACCCGCAGCCACAGATCCAGACTCCACAGCTCCAGAGCCAGAAACACCTGCAGGAAGTGATAGGAGGAGAGAGGAGAGGGACGAGAAAGCACAAGACTACCAGAAAGGGGAGAAGTTGTGTTAGTAACATGCAATAATGGGATGAGGTTGCATACAGAGGGAGAGAAAGTAGAGGAGAGAGGAGCTCAGTGCATCATGGGAAATCCCCCGGCAGTCTAGGCCTATAGCATTATAACTAAGGGATGGTTCAGGACTACCTGAGCCAGCCCTAACTATAAGCTTTATCAAAGAGGAAAGTCTTAAGCCTACTCTTAAATGTGGAGATGGTGTCTGCCTCCTGAACCCAAACTGGAACCTGGTTCCACAGGAGAGGAGCTTGATAGCTGAACGCTCTGGCTCCTAGTCTACTTTTGGAGACTCTAGGAACCACAAGTAACCCTGCATTCTGGGAGCGCAGTGCTCTGGTGGGGTAGTAAGGTACTATGAGCTCTTTAAGATGAGATGGTGCCTGAGAATTAAGAGCTTTGTAGGTAAGAAGAAGGATTTTAAATTCCATTCTGGATTTTACTGGAAGCCAATGCAAAGAAGCTAAAACAGGAGAAATGTGATCTCTTTTCCTGGTTCCTGTCAGAACACGTGCTGCAGCATTCTGGATCAGCTGAAGAGTCTTAATGGACTTTTTCGAGCAGCCTGATAATAAGGAATTGCAGTAATCCAGCCTAGAAGTAACAAATGCATGGACTAGTTTTTCTGCATCATTTTTAGACAGGATGTTCCTGATTTTCGCAATATTACGTAGGCAGTGAATTACCCTATGAATACACCAGTGAACCGCACCAGAGTTCGTTTGAAAGCATACCGAGACCACCTCTTCAAGGAGGTCTTGATACGCTTTTGTTGCGCACCCGAGTGTGTTTGCTGCATTCACCTGCCCAAATGAACCACACCAAGGGGAAAACGAACTCTAGAGTGATTCAACCAAACTAAATGGCAGGTGTAAAGGTACCCTTAGATAGCACATACATACACAACATACTGTATCACATCAAAAGATCTACATTATTTTAGGCATGTGCAAATTTTAATATATTGTTAGAATGTTTATAAAATCTTTAGCTTTTTGGCCACATGAAGACTGTAAAACAGGCTAAACACACATGTGACATAATCCTTACAGTACCTTAAAGGGACATTATGTAAGATTTGGTGTGATGTGGCGCCCCTGCCGATTCATACGGTAATTCACTGCTATTGTAAATAAGGTCAGCTGTACTTGTCCAACAGAAAGAATGCCAGCTTTTATTTCATCAAGCTCTTGCCAATGTCCAGCAGCCTCTTGCTTGGGCTCCCTCGTTTTCTCTTCTTGGCTTCCTGCGTCAACATCGTCTCTTTGCCTCAGCCATTAGCATTAACGGTATGTCCACAGAGGCTGCTGAGCCCAGTTATGTTTCCTGCTCACCCAGCTCCAGCTCGACATCGGCACCCCTCTCCACCAGCAGCAGCAAGCTAGTCAACAAAGCTAGACAGCAACCGACATCAACTCCAGATTTATAGCTAGCAGCTAAATCTCTGTCTGTGAAACCTCTGGCTGATTTCAACAACTCTCTTAACACAACCAAACTCAATCAAATCAAGAGCAACAACACAAGACACAGCAAGCAGCTAATAAGTTATTACTGACTAGTCCAACAAAAAGAAGGCCAGGTCAGCATCTGCCCTGCATCCTTTCAGCTCTTAGCTCACTCCAACGAGTAAAAGCCAGTCTGATATTTATTCTTCTCTGGTCTCTTCCTCAGACAGTCTCTCTCTATTTGTCTTCCTTGCTTCCTCCGACCTCTTCTTCAGTCTCTTTGCAGCCTCTGCCATGATATCCATACTGACAATACTGAGCTAGCTTCTTCCTAAAAGCTAATATTGTACATTTTATACTTTTTGCTTCTTATAATTTGTTTGTTGTACAATCGTGTTGGGGCCATAAAGCATTATGCCGTTGTCGTGATAAATGTCCTGCCTGGGATTCCAATGTTACATAGTGCAGCAGCTGGCACTGCGAGCCATTAACCCTTTTACAAGTCTGTGTACCATCAAAATGATTTTCAAGCTGTTATTTTAAGATACAATTACTACATGCTGCTTTAAACCTTCCACTTAATTTTATTGTTATCTCTCAGGACTTTATGGAGCCTGGCAGGTATTCAGAGAAAAGATTTGCTTATAATGCATAAATTATTTAATTTGTACCCTTGATTTAATAGTGTTAAAATGTTGTAAAAAGCTGTTGTGGCCAGTCCAGTTGGAGAGTAGCACCTATTAGTGCTTTTAGTATGGGGATGCCAACACACATAAGTGTTCAAGCTGGCTAATTAGTTTCTACTCATGTTGAAGTTGGGCGTGCTGTAAATTAGTTAGGCTACTGAACATAATGTACTAATCGAGGTGTAAGTTTTTGGAACAAAATTAAAGGGAGAGATGTCAATCCAGCACAGTCTGCACACACCCATGAGAAGAGCTCTAATCAGACAAGAGAAACACTTGTATCAGTGTACAGTGGGTGTGCACGGGCTATAAAGCTAAATTAACTGATTTTTACAGCTACTCAGTGGCAGTAAAGCCAGATAAAAACAGCAGCTTTCAGAAAGATGGATTTATTAAAAAGTTACTTAAAAAAAGGTATGTGTGTTTGGAAGTGTGTTTGCTTGATTGTCAAGAGTCTGAGCCATTAGCAGCTGAGTTGAGATGGTTGCTGCGTTATCGTGTCACCTCAGCTCCACCGTACTTTGCTATAATTAGGATTTTCAGGCTCCTGTAATTAACAAAGTTGGAATGCAAGTAGTAAAGCTAAGACCAAGCTTGAAACTGCCAGAAAACACAGGGTGACTTCACAATCTAGCTGTAATAATGGTGTTTGCAGAAGCTGTGGTCTGCCATATTACAACATTATAACACAACTGAGTAAGTTCCTGGCAGTCATGGACATGAGACGCTGTTAGTAAATAGTTTACTGACATCACCTTTATTTTATTTAAAGGTGATGGCAGTATTGACTGTAGCATTTCACTGGTGTTCTCTGTTCACCTTCTGATTCTTTAACTTTGTATTTGCACATTTCAATACACCATTCATTGTCTCTGTCTGTTCCTGTCTTTTAGTGTCTTCATCTCTTTGTTCTGCCTCCAGTTCCAGGTCAGTTGTCTGGTTTCGAGGCAGAGGCCGAGCTGGACACACGTGTGATGTTGTCATGGCTTTGGCCTGTCCAGGACCCCATCATTAGCTTTGAACTGCTCTACTGGGTGGCCAACAATCCCACAGACAAGGTAAATACCACCTTAAAAGCAAGCATTTGATGGATGGATTTTATTCTTAAAATGTGTAAATTATTTCTGTGTTCTTTGGTGTATTTAAAGATTTTTATATTTCTGCCTGTACAATGTGTAAGGCATGTGTAATATGTGTGAATATTATGTATGTATATGATGTTCTATAGCTGATGAGCTGATATTTGTGTTAATATTTAATAAATTATTATATACCGTTTCATACTACATCTAAAATCCTTACTGCTCCATTTTCATTTGTATGCTGTTGTTGCTTCTTCGTTCAGCAACCCCAGTGTCCCTGCAGGAATCATGATCTCATGGTTTTCATCTCTCCGCAGCATCGTGTCATTTTCGACCCAGCAGGCTCCTATGCAGTTGATGGTCTAAAGCCAGATACAGTCTACATGTTTTCCCTGGCAGCAAGATCTGACATGGGTTTAGGAGTCTTTACTCAGCCTATTGAGGCTAGGACTGCCCAATCAAGTAAGTCTAATGTCACTTTCACACCATGGTTCAGATTATTTGGAAGGAAAAAAAGATCCATTGTTGTCTTTCAGTTCTGGTCCGTTTAATGTTTAAACTAACGTATTACAAACGAACCAAGAGGAGTAATCATGATGTCATATAAACTGACAGGTAAGTCATTGATTGGACTGTGTTGGTGATGTCATTCTGCATCATCAGCGCTACATGGATACCATACGAAATAAAATTATTATGGCTTTATGTAGGACTGTAGTACTTGAGTCTACCACATTTAATGTTTCCTGGGTTAATGCTACAGTGTGTAAGATTTGGCCAGAATTTAAAACATTCAAAAAATGAACTAACATGATCAACACAATATGAAGAAGTTACAGCTCTGACTTCATGTGAAAGAAGTCAATTTACTGTGTTTCACAGATAACTTAAGAAGTGAGCAGGCTAATCAACTAGCCCTTACCGTCCTGCGTTGTAATACCACTTGTGCCTTGAGAGGCGATAGTGAGTCACTGTAGCGTCCAGTCTGCCCTCAGTCCAATGTGAGAGGATGAAGAAGTAGAGCTGCCCCCAAGGGCTGTCAGTCACGTTGCAGCTACAGCACCCCCCGGTTAGTGTCACAGAAACACAAAGATGGCTGAAGCTCTTGGCAAGAACCTTTATCACAATCCCAAACACCCACTCCCTGCAGGAAACCACATTCTGTAGCAAATATATAAAATGAAGCAAAACAAGAGTTACATTTATTTCCGTGGCTTTTCACTGCTGGAGACAGCTCCTGGTGAGTACAGTGACAGTACTTTTGATGAGGCTGTTTTCTTGCTTCTCTGGTCTTGCTAAAACTCAACTAACCAAGCTATAACATAAACTATAGGCCAACGCGACAGGTGAAGATTAGAAGATAGTTGGTTTTCGTTAATGTAGTTTAGCTAGTGTTGGGCAGCAACACGTTACTCAGTAACTTTTCCCAGTAACTAGTAAGGGATTATTATTTCCAAAACGGTAGTAATATTACAGTTACTAATCCAAGTAACGCTACGTTATTATGTTACTGCATTACTGCGTTACAGAACGCACCATCCTTGACGTGGATGTGGGACTGCACGGCAGGTCAGCGGCACCGGAACTTATGTTGTTCAAGTCAGTTGTTAACCAAAAAGCTAAAGGAAGAGCTGTAAGTATCACCATTATTGTGTCACAGTCTAACACCTCGTGCAGACTACACAACTGTTAGCGTCGTGTAGTCTAGAAGATAACTGTTTACTCAGCCACCAAAGAAGCTTCAAAGTGTAGTTTCAGAGCCTTTACCATAATGCCAGGAATATAATTCTGTTTGAGAAATGCTCGCGATTAATCGCATTGTTATGTGCAAAATTGAATAATGAATTCTAAAGTAGTGTAATGCGCACTTTTAATTTAAATGTACTGTTATATACAAAAGTGCAATAACATGAGGTTTTCAAACCCTTCTAACAAATGAGGTGCTTTTTACCAGCGGTATTCCCTTTACACAGTAGAAATAAAATATTTCTTGTGAATCTCAACTTGAACATAATGTAATCAAATCAAATATAATTTGCCACTGCCAGGGCTTTACCTTTTATAACTTGTTAAAATAAATCTGTTTTCTTGTTCTTTTTTCAAACATTTTTCTTTTATCAGGGAGCAGCATAAACAGCCAATGTTCAGTAGCAAGTGTCCCTCTTAGAGTGAGGTAAAGTGGCTGAGCACAAGGCGTTTGTGCTCACCACACGTCCGCCGCCGAAGTTGAATTGTCTTGAACTTTTTGTACGCGACGCGCAGCACAAATCATTGGAAAAGAGACTGATCCTCGCTGTTTGTGAGTTTCCAGAATCTATTACTGTTATCAGGACATCAAGAGGAGGGCATGGCAGAGCATCTCCGCAAAACTAGATGTAGGCCTATCAGCTAAAGCTATGTAGCCTATAATTTTACCTTAAGTTAAATAGGCTACAGCTGTGAAGCCGTTGCCATGGTTACTATCCATAGAGCACCTGCTGTTTACTCGCAGAGCGCTGTCTTACTTCTCCCATACGCTGCATCCAAGTGGTCTGCTGAAGCCTCCCTCCGCTGCTTGTTTGGGTGATTTCCAGGCTGATCAACATCCCACCCCTCCTGTGACCCAGGTTTGACTGTATGTGTATTCAGACCCAGTGAGCAACGGACTTTCAAAATAATAATAATAATAATAATAATAATAATAATAATCATCATAATCATCATAATCATAATGAAAACTGCGTTAACGTGAGATAAAATAATTGTCTGCGTTAATTAATTAGTGCTTTAACGCGATAACACGTTAACTTGCCCAGCCCTAATAATAATTAAAATTATTGCTAAGATGTAGTTAAAGCTGCAAGCAGTGATGAATGGGCCCTCGCTCCTTCACGCGCATTGGGGCATGACGCAGCCATGGTGTAGGTCCTCGGTCAGTGCAGCTCTGAATTTTGTACAGTTAAGTTACAAGAACTTCCTTTTTCATGGCAATAATACATCACAATGGCAACAGTGTTGGATGAAAAGTCACAAGTTTCACAATATAACGGCATCACGGTCTTAGGAATTTTCTACCAAAATTCTTTAAAAGGCAGAAAGATTGCCTAAAAATTGCACCTTCAAATCAAAATAGCTGACTTGGCTTAGAGTATGGCTCCAAGAGGCTTTTCTGTGTGTCTTGAGATGATGTGCCACAAAAATTTCATACATGTAGGTGAATTTCTGCATAAAGTGTTGTGAGTTTTCCAACAGCATTAGGCCGTCAGAAATGCGATTCATTGTGGAGAAAAAGAAAGAAGGAACAATTCATTACCTTTCAATACGTTTTGTGCTCAGACGCTAATGGCAGAATCCTTTGCTTGGCCTGTTTTGCAACGGCACCATCATGAGTCCACTTAGTATAAAACTGTGGTGCAGCACAGTGTTCAGTGTTTTTCACAAAGCATTAAACGTTGTTAACGCCACTCTCTCCTGACGAGTGCATGCATCAGTGGCAGTAGTAGCCGGAGTTTCTTTCTACAAGTTTGTTGGCAGTTTTTGCTGGTCGCACAAAATTTACAATGGATGACAATGTTCTTTGCATCTTTAGCCTAGTTCACACTACACGATTTTTAACCCGATTTGCCGCTCGGTGAGCTCGGCGACCGCCAGGCTGTGTCACTGGTCGCCAGTTGTTATGTGTGAACTACACAGCGAGGCATCAAAACGGCTCCCCAACACATTTCTAACACATCGCATCTAGCATGCCAAATATCTGGAAGAGTCGGCCGACTCGACATCCAGCCAATGAGAGCAGGCAGCTACTTTTTCACTGCAAAACATTTTGTACTCACCTCCAGCTCTCTCTGTAGCTCAGACAATCCCTGCTACCTGCGTGTACTGATCCATTCTTTCACCCAGATTCTTTGTCTTTATAATTGCTATCTTTATAATAACAAACAACAGCTGTTTCATGTGTAGGTTCACCATTTCACGTTTCACATTTCACGTGTGTTTTCTTGACAAAAAGTGGTTTGGAGAACAGTGTCGCGTGACAGAGTACTGTGTGACCCCCTGTCACCAATCAGTCACGTAGTGTGAACGCCACAACGGCTTCAAGACTCCCGTCACAAGACGGCAAGTTGTGTAGTGTGAACAGTATGGCCATCGTCCGACGCTGAGAGTTGTGTAGTCTGTGACACAATAATGGTGATACTTACAGCTCTTCCTTTAGCTTTTTGGTTAACAACTGACTTGAACAACATAAGTTCCGGTGCCGCTGACCTGCCGTGCAGTCCCACATCCACGTCAAGGATGGTGCGTTCTGTAACGCAGTAATGCAGTAATGTAGTAACGTAGCGTTACTTGGATTAGTAACTGTAATATTACTACCATTTTGGAAATAATAATTCCTTACTAGTTACTGGGAAAAGTTACTGAGTAACGCGTTACTGCCCAACACTAGCTAAACTACATTAACGTTACTTACCCTGCATATTTATACCAGCTTACAGCTTGATTCTTTCAGTGCTTGCAGCTAACTGGGATGCAGCAGCCTGTGTCACAGTAAAGAAGATCTGGATTATGTTTTTTACTGTGCTTTGCTGTGAGTTTTGTGAGACGTTGGTGTCACACAAGTCTGCTGCATAGTATTGTAAACAAGGAAGTAAGATTGCTGATGAAAGACAACGTTTTATGGGAAACAGCGACGATAGGTCAAATTTGCTAAAAAGTTGCGGTAAGCGGTCAAAATTGAAAGTCACGCTGAATTCACTGGGATTTTTTGAATTTGTGTAAATACAGTAGTTGCGATTGCGACATGGCAAAATAGTATTACTAGTAGAGTATAGAGGTCACCGGCATTTTAGCAGCGTTTAAAGTCGTAGTAACTGTAGTTACGCATGGAAAAAGGAACATGGGTTTAAAGGGCAGTGGTGGCTAATGAACCTGCAGCAAATACACGTGGGCGATGGCGGTGCCTGATTAAATGTAATTAAGATGAGCTTGAACATAAGTGGGTTTTTAGTTAGTTTAACAGGAGGCTCAACTTTCAGTTTGTAACTCACTAGCAACTGGGACAGGAACAGGAATGCCTCAGAAGTTGCCAGAGAATAAGAAAATGTTTTTGCTCCAGTGAGTTCGAACCCAGCTTGGCGTGATCTTGCAAAAAAAGTAGCTTACATTTTTCAATTTTTTGTTTCGTATTTGTATCATATAGTGCTCACTTCTACAGTCATATTCAGCACAGTCACTATGAGATGCGATGTGACTTGTGAAATGGCCTATATGTTTTGTTAGTGTGACCAATCTGGGGACGGAGGCAGACAACCCCTGCTGCAAACAACAGCAGCCAGTTAGTTTGAAAACCAGTAGTGATACAACACCGGTCATAGATAGAACAAAACGTAGCTGCTTTGTTTTTCCATTTTGGTTTTAAAACAGAAAAACTAGAGCAGATATCTGGTTTTTTGTTTGTTGTTTTTCCATTTTTCCATTTTGGTTTT